ACATACACACAAAACCACTTTGTAATGGCCGGTGGTGGCGAGTTGTGGCAGTAGGATTTTCCTTCGGTTTCTGGCTAAGCATCGTTCCAGCGACCCCACACCATTGCAACATCAAGGCTCAACACCACCATCGTTTCTGGCCGTAAACAAGTGTAGCACCCAGAATCAAAAAGACCAAGAAAGGAAAGGAAACCCTAAGTGAAAAGGGGTCAACTCGTCGATTCTATAGAAGAACTCGACGAGTCGGAGCAGGATCCGTGTGCAAGATTAAGTGATCGACTCGACGATTCGGCAAGTGGACTCGGCGAGTCAGGTCTAGGTTAGTAAACCCTAATTTCGGGACTTGGTACCTTATTTAAGCATCTTATTCACTTCCCTAGGGCTCATTGACGCCCCCTATTGTCCAGAACTCGAAACCCTAGCCACCCAACTCCATTGTTGAGCTAGTTCTTGCCTTGAGAGTGAATTGAAGCTTGGAGAAAGAAGAAGGGCCTTAGGGTGCAAGAAGAAGCTATAGATCCAGAGTTAGGGTAGCATTTCAGACCACTTAGAGGTAAAAAGCTTATGCCTTGACTGTTATTCATCTAGATCCTCTTATTAGCTTGTATTTTGTCACATTTGGACCATTTCCTAGGTAAATCCGAGTATTGAGCCACTGAGGACGAGATGGACTTAAGGTTTAAGCATTTTTTAGCTTTAGAAGCTCTGAGACGACAACTTTGCCCAGCCATGGCTCCGTTTCATGAACTAGGCCTTCATTGTAGCTTGGATTAAGTGTTCTAGCCTCATAGCACCTTGTATGCACGTAAAGTTAGCAACTTTACGTACAATGCTAGCATAAGGAGTCCAGATATATGAGTTAGAGGTGTTAGGATGGACAAGAATCGGCAGAATAGAGATGTCACAAGTGGACTCAGCGAGTTTGTTCATGGACTCGATGATTCTGCTCGTAAACCCAAACCCTTCTGTTTATGAGTCAGATCAGTGAGTGGGGTTAGTGAAGGACTCAGTCAGTCAGTGTCCGTAATGGGCATGAAGGTCATGGTACTCGACGAGTTCAAGTAGGAACTCGGCGAGTCCAAGGCAATCTCCTTAGCCTATGAAGATGGACTCGAAGAGTTGTTCTACAACTCGGCGATTCAGTTGAAGATGGTCCCGAATGTTTAGTTGAAGGAGAACCCATCGAGTTGTTGCTAGACTCGATGAGTGGAGTCGAGGTTGTTTTGAGATTTGAGGAGCATGGACTCGACGAGTTGATAGAACAACTCGGCGAGTTGAGTCAACTAGAAGTTGACTCTGACCTTGATTTTAACCTTGAGAAGGACCTTGACTAGAGTTGACTTAGTTGGCTTCTTGAGGACAGTTAGGCTAAGTATTGTTATTGGTATTGGTAGCTCGGGGAGCTGGAGGAGCAGCAGTTCGGGGAGTTGTCGGATAGCAGCCAGAGGGTTATCAACAGAGTTCAGCAGTGCAGGTGAGTCTTCCCTTTGTGTGAATGGGTCTACGGCCACAATGCCGGCCCATGTAGTTATGAGTAGGAGGACCTGGGGGTTAGCCCTAGGTACTTGTTGCTAGTATGATATTCTGGATCAAGGTCCAATGTCGGGTGGGTGCCCGAGGAATGGTTTGCATGATAGAGTATACGTGTTGTCTGTGTGATACTTGTATGTGCCTGGTAGGGAGGTGAGTATGGGCGAGGTCCCGTATCTCACCATTAGCATAGTATGGATGGGGTTCCATGTCTCATTAGTAGCCGAGCAGGGGTGAGGCCCGAGTTAGCAGGGGTGAGGCCCGAGTTAGGAAAAGAGTGAGTGTGGGATGGGCCCGTATCTCACTATCAGTAGTAGGGTGGACGGGGTTCCATGAGTCATCAGTAGCAGGACAGGGGCGGGGACCAAGACAGGCGAGGCCATAGTACAGGAGTGTTGTAGAGTAGCTATAGTTTATGTGTTATGCGATATGTTATATGTTTGTATATGTTTAGCGGGCAAGGCCCATAGACAGGCAGGGCCTAAGAGAAACCGATCTGTACACAAAGCGGGGATCGAAGCCAGGCGGGGCTTGTTGTAGCGGGCGAGGCCTGAGGTAGTGGGCAAGGCCCGATATTTGCAGTATAAAGTTATGTGTATGGTATGTGGTAGGTTGGGGAACTCACTAAGCTTCGTGCTTATAGTTTTCAGTTTTGGCTTCAGGTACTTTCGGTAACGCAGGGAAGTGCTTGGGTTGATCGCATGGCACACACCATAGTTAGCCAGCCTGGGATGTTTTACTCTGAAAATAAGAATATGTTTTGAATTAACACTCTAATTTAATGTTAAGATTTATGTTATGGATTGACAATTGTGGTTTAAGTAACGTTTTAAAATGAAATTTATACCTGTGTTTTTTTGGTCGTTACAACAAGTTCAGCCACCCCTCCTGGTGGCGCAAAATGACGGAGACAAAGGCAATCTTCATGCATGGTCGCAAACAAAGGTGGATGGGAGATTGCGGTGGGGAAATGGTGGCAATCCACCCCGAAAACAATAACCACAACTGCACAATAGCCTCCGGAAGCAGCAATGACGTTCACAACATCCAACACCGAGAGGAACAATGGGAAAGAGAGTGAGAGAGAGAGAAGTGGCGTTTAGGCCAACCGGAACCCCTTGGCTGTTCACAGCTTACAACTCACCATTCACAGCCCCATAACTGCGATATCGATTCTCATCCAGCTGCACGTGACGTCCGGCGATGAGGTTACCGATGGTTGCACATGGAGATGGGTAGCGGAGGGGTAAGACAACAATGCTTCTAGCGGTTCCCGGCTTCAGCAGGTAAGGGAAGATGACCGATGATAAGGGGGCTGTGAAGGGTGCGGCCGCAAATGGGAGAGACGAGGTGGGAGGGGTTGGCGGCTAATTCCTCCTTAGGGTTTAGGGTTACAGAACTCTATATACCCGAATCCACTAAAAAGTTTTCCATAATGACCAAAATGGTCCCTGTAGCTCCCATTTATTTTGAAATAGATTCATATTTTGCCTTTTTAACCCCTATCATCTAAATTTCCTTCAACTTAAGTCCATAATTTGCCAATTATACCCTGGTTCCTGAACTCCTTTTCAAATTCAGCCCACAAATTACTAAACAACCCTCAAAATTAAAACTCATTGCAATTTAGGTACAATAATTACCAAACAGTCCCTTAGCCTCCAAAATCTCTTCACATGAAGTCCCATAAGTTCCCATATAGCCCCTTCCTTCATAATTATTTACAAAGCTAATTTGGAACTGACACCTTTAACCCCCGACTTCTAAAATTGTAACCTTTGGCTCCCGAAGACCAACACCTTGCTATTATTGATTTTAGGGCTATTATGTAATCATTTATATATTTATTAAATAAACGGGGTGTTACAGAACTCGGCGAGTTGATGAGATAACTCAGCGAGTTGGCTAGGGTTTTTCTCGATTTTCAAAACACTGAAGGAACTCGACGAGTTGGTAGATGCACTCGACGAGTTGGGTCAACATGGACTGTTGACCTTGACCATGGTCGACTAAGTCTGACTTTAAGGGTATTTATGGTATTCCAAAAATGTAATGAAGTTAGTAACATGGTGGTTGTAGGCAGTTGAGTTCAGAGCTGTGAGTTGGGATTTGATTGTATCGGTTCAACACTACTTGTGAGGTGAGTTTTTCTCACTATACTCAAGGGCCGAAGGCACCAAGGGTGAACCTTTGGACTGTTATCCTGCTCTATTATTGTTGTGATCTGTTAGATTGGTATCCCGATAGATAGGATGTTTCTACGTGGTTATGATCTGTTAGATTGATATCCTAGGTTATAGGATGAAACTATGATTAGTGGTCTTTTAGGACTGTATGATTATTATATGTGCTAGCTAGCATGTATCTATGTGATTAATGTTTGATTGCGGGTGGATTGAGGCGGTCCTGCTTTTTGCTCTAGACCAACAAACCTAGGGTGGCCCGGATAGAATGAAGGTCCATCGTGGCGTTCCAGTTGGGTCAAAGGCTCGGAGAATGGTCCAGACAGGCTGAAGGCCTAGTGAGGCAGTCCAGACATACTGAAGGTTATGATAGTGGTCCAGATAGACTGAAGGCCCGGTGAGGCAGTCCAGTCATGTTGAAGACTCTATATGCATGCTGTTTGTTTATGATATTTTTATGTTTGTGTGGTGTTGGTATTTTAGGGGAACTTACTAAGCTTCGGGCTTACAGTTGTGGATTTTGTTTCAAGTACTTCGGATGACCGCAGGAAGGCGAAGGCTTGATCGTGCACCTCCTCGAATTTTATGCCATGATTTCTGGGATTCTCTGATGATATACTATTTTGAAAACAATTTGTAAGCAATAAATGGTTTTGTGATATTTAAAAAGTTTAAAATTTTTCATGAATTTTATGGATGTTACAACTCTTATCCAAATAGGCCCTAAAATCAACCATAAATTCTTTGACATAGAATTGTAAGAGTGAAACCTTTTCCACAGCTTCAATGATCTTCTTGTCTGAGGCTTGAGCAACCTTAGTGGATTCTTCTGTGACCTTTGAGTTTTTAGAAGTAAACATCTCGACAGTTGATCGATGGGTGGTCAGAAGGTTTTCCCAGCTTGAAGATGAGAAGGCTTAAGATTGATCTAAGATGGAGTCAAGCTTTTCTCTTAATTGCTTGAACTGGCCCTTTTTCATGGGAGCTTTGTCTTCATCACTATTGATATTGAGATTGAAGGGCTGAAAAACAAAATCCTTTATGGTTTCTTGTTCATCTCCAAACAGAATGTCTTCATCCTAATTAAAAGGAGAAGCAATAGAAGTACCAGGTTCGGAAGTAAAACAAATATTGGTATGATGTAAGTTTGTATCTCCTCCAAGACGGATTTGATGATAATGAATTCTGGTGAACTGGAAACTAAATATGTAGTTGGAAAGGTTGAATCAATAAATATGGGTGTAAATATAGGGATTGAAATCTGAGGAAGTGTCATTCCTACAGAGCTCATTGGTGGTAGAGGAGCAATGAATAGGATAAAATTGTGGATGTAGTGGGTGAGGATGGCATGGGTGAATTTGGTGGAATAATAGGTGGTGATTGTGGAGCAATAGATAAGTTCAGAAATGGTTCTTTCCGAATTTTCCCAAAACTGTCAAAAGTTGGAACAATGGAGGATGGTGGAGAAGATACATTCGGAATCGGTTCTGTAGGGGTTGGTTCCAAAGTTGTTGCAGTATCCTCTTCCTCATGTATGATTGTATCATCCTCTTCAACTCCAATAATAGTTCTTGATTCCGATTCTTCCTGAAGTACCGGGGATGGAGATCTCAGTTTCTTTGTCGGCTTCTTCGCTTTCTTTAGAACTTTGACACTTTCAGAAGGAGCATCCTTTGCTTTTCATTTACCTCCACATTTTGGTTTGTCTCTCTAATCAATAAACTTTTGTAGATCATCTGGTATTGGACGAACACCAGAAGATGGTGATTTACAATACTCCCTCACTTAGCATTGTCACGAGGAACATTTTCTAACATTTCCTCCAGAATTGAGCCAATAAACTTGAGGTTGTGGGGATCCGACATCACAAATATGGACATTTGGAGTGTAGAAATTTCTACCATTAAGGATTCTTGCATCAAAGAGACTTTGAAATGGTCTAGGGAACGATTGACCAGAATCTGGCACATGAAATCTCTGTGTGATGAGTAGATGAGTTGGTTCTTTGAATGAGTTAAGCCCACATAATAGAACCATAATCAAGATTGAGACCATGGTATAGTCCATAGATGAGAGTGTAGAATAACTTGCTTGCACTTTCGGAACCAACAACCCTTTCTGAAAAACTCTTGAATAGTAAAGTGGACAACTCATTCCACATTGGAAGAAGGAAGGGTTTCCTGAACTTGGATAACAGTGAGATGTCGCCATTGTATCCCATTTGATAGAACATCTCAATCAGGGAGGTGGTTGGAATCTACTCTGGATCAACATGAACTTCAGGAAAAACGAGCCATAGAAGTTTGCTTATTTGGAACTTTGAGATTGAGGTCTTGTGAGTAGCAATCTCGAAGTGAATAACATCATCAGTCTTGTTGTATATAGCAATGGAGAATGCTTTGGAGAGATGAACTAGGGGAACAACTTCAGCCACGGTTAACGCTTTCACCAACGAAAAGAACTTGAGACACTCGATTATAGGCCTGATTTGGGCATTGTAACGTGAAGCATCGAGATTAAGAATCAAGTTTTGGTTAGTCTTGACTGTGAGCATGATGATAGACACAAATTGATCAACAAAAGAAACTTGTTCAAATGAACTGACCATTGAAGCTTTGAAGAAGATGATGAACAATAGAGTGAGATAGAGCAGTTGTGGCTTTGAGAATTGTGTTTACAGTGAAGGAAAATGAACATTTTTGGTTGCTTTATATATGGTATATGATGAGTGGAGAGAGAAACCGTCATTTCAAATTTGAGCATGCCGAAAAATCAACCAATAAAATCGTGACAGCTAATCAATGACTGTCAGAATCCGTTATAACAACCACACGTGTCATGGATTCAAAAATCACGCCAAGATTTGAAGTTATCCAAAAGTCATTAGACGTTTCAATTTCACCATGTTCTGAACCAGTCTTTTCGGAATTGTCGTTCTACCTTCCAGCTTTTTAAGCATCCATTCGGAATGGAAACTAGTCTTGTTAAAATCATGAGGATTTTAGTTCAAGAGTGTGCCAAAAAAATAAAGCAAATAATATGTGGGATTTAGTGATATCAAGCAATGTTGATATAAAATTTTGATTGATCCAGGGCAACAATCTCTTCCTTCTGAGTCAAGAGAGACTTTGAAGTGCTTGTGTGGTTTCCCTTTGAATTACGATCACCAATTTATTGTGAAACTGTGAAAGGATTCTTTTATAAGGCTAAAAAGGTGGTTTCATCTTTAGCTAGATTCTAAAACATAACGTAAGTCCGAAGATCTGAAAAAAGTACTTGTTTGACCAGTATAGCCATAAAAACAAGTAAGCTTTGGATTTTCTTTAAAGTGATTGGGTATTATGGAAATCTAAAAAAATGGATCTTATTAGGAAGAAATGTCTTAGGATGAAGCTTTTCATTAAGATCACTCAAAAATAAAGATGAGATTTCAAACACTTAAGGTACAAACCTAAAGGTTTTATTCGTCAATTCCATGGTTAAATTTATAGAACAAAAGGATGTCCACCGTCAATTCAGAAATGGTGTTCGGAGTTTTGGGTTTCACTCAAAATCATGGTAATAACGATCTCAAGATCATAAATGCAGATGTTTTGTAACCTAAACATTAGTGGTTAAACCTAAGAGGCTTAAGGGTTACGATTCAGAATAATAGATTGGTAAAAGAATGGTTGGGAGTTTCACGAAAATCATGTTGATAACGATTTTGCTATCATGAACAAGAGTTTTGTAGCCCTATATCGAAACTGGTTTTGTTCCAATAATCAATGGACTACGAGGAAGTCTTGACAATATATGGTAGAAAGAAGTGATTAAGTTAATCGTCAATTCATTGTTGCAGACTTAAATTCAGAAATGAATTTTTAAACGAAAATATTTTTGATATTTTTGATTTTGGAAAACACTTAACAAGAAGAAAATATTTTTGATATTTAAAAAATTTTTAAACGAAAATACAGAAATAAATAAAGTATTTTTATACTTTTGATTTTCTGAAAAGAACAAAGATAAACATTAACTTCAGAACGGAAACAAATGAATAAACAAAGGAAAATGATAAAAGACTTACAGAGGTATAAGGTTCCGAAAACATAGTGTACATTAACAACAAAATCATTATGAAGATCAGAGAAAATCAGAAGTAAACGGAGAATTCCAAACCATTTTGAAGCTCAGAACAAATCGAAATATAAATAGTGGATTCTGAACCATTCCAAAGCTTGGAACCATTCGGAATGTAAACAGTAACTTCCAACCAATGATCATTACGAAGAGGATTTCGGAACAAATTCAGCTTCAATCATCTCTAAACCTTGTAAAATATGATTGAATGATGCTTCAGGTAGGAACTTTGTAAATATACCAGCTAACTGATCTGATATGACATCCCCAAAATCACGGCCAGAAAAAACCGTTTTCATTTATGCTTTTAAAATAATTTCAGAGTACATCCATTGATTTAAAAAAGTTGTGGAATTTGTACCCAAAACACAATATGATAAAATAAAGTTTATCAAAGCATTTCCTTAAGAAATGTATTTTCATTATATACCAAAACTCGGGATGTCATGTTTCGATACAGACATAAAAGCATAAACAATAAAGCATAGACCTTACATAGTTACATACAACTACTTGTCTATACACAAAAATATCTTCACAAGTTCTCCAACTTATGCTCTTGATCCACTACCTGTAATACAACGAAAATGAGTGGGTCAGGCTTGGGAGCCTGGTGAGCATATAGGTTTTCAACCCACAATAAATAGTTATATTTAAATTCACCAACAAACAATAACCTGATTACTCATTCCCGTTATCCTCACATTACGTCCCTATGATAACAACTATTACAAGGGACCTAATCTAGGATTTTCATCAGGACAGACACTAGTGCAAAGGGGTTTCCTCAGCAATGAATGTCATAAGGCAACCATGATGGGATAGAATACATCAAATGAACACCCAAGTTCATTACACCTACAGGTTATGAGCCTGCCAGCGTTCCACTGAAGTGTCTAGAAAAGTCCGTGTTGTCATCCACATTCGGCTCGAAACTCTTTTCTTATCGGGATCTTTGGGGCTACGAGACTCGCTTCGGGTCTGGAGATGATACCGGGGCTTCGGGGGTACATCAAGACGGCTAAAGAGAGTATCAGGAGTGAGAGAATGAGGAATTAGAAACCATGGTCGGCTGCCCTTCACCTTCTATTTATAGGGCTGAATTTTTGTGCTCACATCGTAAGCCACAACTGCTCACATCGTGAATTCATTATGTCACTGCATTCATCATCAGGCCACTTGCCCTGAAAGGCTTCCATCACCTGCTCACGTCGTGAACACTGTGCTCACGTCGTGAGCTCTGACACGGGTGGAAATTCGTGTCGCGAACGTTAGAAATTCATATCTTTCACATACGAGCTCTGTTTTCGATGTTCTTTGTATGCACGCATAGGTGAGATTATGCTCTACAACTCTCGTTTAGACTCCATCAACTAATTTTGATTTTAACTTTTATTATATTATTTTAGTAAGCCGGGACAGGAAAACTCCGTTAGAAATTCATAACTTCTTTATCTGACGTCCGTTTTTGTCTGTCTTTTCACCGTTGGACTACTATTGACGAGATCTTCGATTCTCATTTAGATTGTTTTAGCTAGAAATCACTCGATCTCATATTCGAAATTTGGGTTGCATACTGCTAATTCGAAACTTCGAAAAATCATAACTTCCTCATATGAAGTCAGATTTAGGCATTCTTTTCATGCATGTTCTTGGTTTAACATGTCGTACGACTTTCTTTTAGATCACTAAGACTAAATATCGCTCTATCGTAAATTCACTATTTACGTCACACAGTGTCGTACCAGTTCTATCGCGGAACTTTAACATGTCATAACTTCTTCGTTATAACTCAGATTTCATCATTCTTTACATCTTTGAAATCCTCGTAACGACCACTACAAATTCATGTATAGATATCGGGCTTATCTAATATTTTATTAGTACACTTATTCTTGTTATTAAGTCATTTAAGTCACACAATTAAGCAATAAACACACAAAACTCAAATAATACATTTCTATTACTTCAAAACAAGTTACAAAAGTTAACCTAGACTATTACATCAATATTAATGCCTAGCCTAGAAACACGGGCGTTACAATTCTCTCCACCTTAGGATGATTCCGTCCCTGGAATCACACATTAACAAACAAATGCGAATAGCGACTCATCATGTCACTCTCCGTTTCCCTGGTGAGATTTGGCCAATTCGGATGTTTCCAACGGACAATCACTAATTCGACCATATTGTGTCGCAACTTCTTAGTCTAATGGTCAGTGATTGCCTCTGGTTCTTCAATTAACCTCTTATTTTCATCAATTATTAATTCCAAAAGTGGAATCATGTTTGGAACTTCTCCCATGAACTTCCTCAAATAACACACATGGAAAGTGTTATGAATTTCGTTCAGTTCTTCGAGTAATTCTAGCTTGTAAGCTTGGTTCCCAATCCTCTGAAGAACTTTAAACGGTCCAATAAACCTTGGACTCAACTTTCTTTTTACCAAATATTATAAGTCCCTTCCACGGTGAGACTTTAAGCAAAACCAAATCCCTAACTTCAAAAATCATCGGTCGTCTTTTCTTATCAGCATAGCTCTTTTGACGATCCTGAGTTACTAACATTCTCTCCTTAATTACTTTCAACTTTTCAGCATTCTGATGGACTATCTCAGGTCCCATAAACTGCTTTTCCCCGGCCTCAAGCCAACAAGACGACGTACGACATTTTTGTCCGTACATAGCTTGATAAGGTGTCATCTTTATGCTCGTGTGGAAAATATTATTGTAGGAGAATTCTACCAAAGGTAAATGT